CTTGCTGTGGGCATGCTACCTTTCTTCACTAAATCTGTATTTTGAACTATCAATATTATTGATGTTCCCAGACGTTTTTGTGCATGGAGTTCAGGGTATCTCACAACAGCAGATATCTCTTTTTCAAGTTCTATGTAAGAAAAAAGATGTGGAAAAAGATAATTTTCATATCATACGAAAACCAGATATTGCAAAATACATAATCAATATAATGAAAAAATATAATTATGCCTGGCGTAGAGCTAAAATAGTCTAAACATGAGTGTGCAATGGAAATTAACATCATATCTGAGCAAAGAAACAGCAAATGTGATTCCCATAGTGCAGACATTAGGAAAATGGTGGGATGAAGCCTAAAATTATGAAATGAAGATGTCTTCAAGGGAAAACAGGGAGCAGATCTCCAGTGCAGGATAATCCTTGGCTCATCTAGCTAGTAGCTCACAATGCTCATTCAAACCCTGAAGAGGGAAAGAACTCGTCACTCTTCCTTGTACCAGCAGCTTGTCTCCAGCAGACACAGAGTGGTGAACCCAGGGTTTTGGCAGGCAATTCCGGCACAGAGCCATGCAGTATTCATCTGGCCTTCTGACAAAAGGCTTTACTTCTTCCTGTAGAGGGTTGATTACCACTGCTTCTTCATTTAATGTTACTGCAAAGCTTTAACCTTTCTCACACAAAAAATGTAGAAAATTGCCTTCCCAAGCACCTATTCACCAGACCAAGGTGCTGCAATTCCTGAAGTGAAATGCTGCTGCCAGAGTGTCTTGTAATGACCATCAAAAGCTACTTCAGTAGCTTTAAGCAAAAGTAATTTCTTTTACAAAGGAAACAAAAAAAAATGTTCCAACCTTCATCTATATAAAATAGAAAATGGTGCAGGTTCAATCCTGACCTCAGGTAAGTTTTGTTAAATCTGAAGGAGCACTTCAATGGCTGTAAAAGGAATGTAAACTGCAAGTGGTCTGTAGCCTGAACAGGGTTTTTACTGGGACTTCACACCAAGTCAATAAAGCTAACACAACAATATTTTATTTCATTTAAGAAAAATGTCAGTGGCCACAAACATTTATTTTTCATACTCACAAATATTTCAGTAACAATACACTTGAATAAAATACAAGCAAAGACAAGAAAAGGTTTGTTAGAAATCTGATTTCTGCTTTTGTGATAATTTTGTATTGAACCCCATTAAAAAAAAAAAAAGAAAGAAAAATATCTCCTTTGTTGCCATAGCAATAGATTCCCAGGGTGAAATTATATCATACTGCCTTTCTTCTAGGTTTCTGCTATGTGCAATCACCACCCACTCTCGTTCATTACAGTCAATAATCAGCAAAACCTCCCCACCCCCAGCCTCTATTCATCTGCATGTTTTGGGGTGGAGGATGTAATAGTTATTGTTTTGACAGGTGTAGAGAAGCCAAGTGAATTCTCAGTGTGCTGAGGAAGCACAGGATGTGCTGCCTGAAATGTTTCCAGTCCGGTCCCCTCTGACAATGCCTGTGAGCACCCTTCCATCTGCAGTTCCCATCTCTTCTGCACAAGCACTAACTGCTGGTGTCAGCTCTACAGCACTGCACTGTGTCTGCTTGGAGGGGTGGGAACAAGAACCTACGCTAGCCTAGCACTGCCAAAGCAATGTCAAATTTGAAGTAGAACCCTGATTTTCTTACGTAAAGTGCTACTGCATTAACTCAGTGTGTCACCTCTCCCTTGCACCACAGCAGCTTCAAAATTGACACCTCCATAGCAGATCAGCAGGCCAAGCAGAGCTTACAGAACACATACCACAGTCTGAACACTGGAACACAATGTAATCTAACTTAACAGGCTTGTACCGGGGTGGGTGAAATAATAAATCCTGGCTTTCATGCAATTATTCTGAAAGAATGTGCAGTTACCACTCTCACAATAAGTATTTAGCCCTGCATTTAGCTTGATGGATATTTCTCCAAGGTTGGATTCACACATGCTTTTTTAACACTAAATGCACAAGTATAGTAAGAGGTAAAGAATTAATTCATGTCAAATATCTGACCTTGTTTAAGGTACCCTGATTCCATTACTTTTGGGGGACCAAACCAGATTATCATATTGATACACACCAGTTGAAGAACTAGCTCTGGATAACTTTCTGACATTTAATATTACAGAATAGTTTTCAATTCATTTGAAATAGAGGTTAGTGTTCTCTAGGGTTTCTTCATATTCTCACTACTCATAAAAAGCAATGTATCTGCAGATTTACCAAGAGCATTGAAGGGAGATAATTTTTCTCCTTCCTCCTCCTCCAATTTCAGTGCTTTTCCATTACCACTGTTTTTACTCCAGAGTCAGAGGTCCTGGATGTATAGCTGAGCCACCAATCCACCCACTTCCCTCACTTGGATTCAGGACTGCCTCTCCCCTTGAGCAATATTCACAAGATTTTAATAATAATTTCTTATATTTAATCTGAATCTCCTGGTATGTCTTTGTTGTTTCTTTCATGTATCCTGACTATATTTTTCTCTCATTGGACAGCTTGTAAAATACTTTTGTTTTCTAACTATTTGTAGGTTCTGATTAAAAAAAAAAAAGTGCTTTGAAAGTGCTTTGTATAGCATTATGCTTTAGGTCTTTGCAACAGCATGATAGCTGAAGGTCAAAAAAAAAAACAAAACAACTGCATGACAGAACTTGCTCCTTGCCTGTCAGTAAAATTAGTTGCTAAATATAGTTTCAGGTATAAGATACATCATTGTTAATGCATGTCTTTGTTAATTCAGGAATATGATATTTTAAATGCCTATTTCCCATTTAGTAATTCTCTGTAGATACAGTGATATCTATTTAATTAATATGCATATAAATAAAGTATGATTTTTGTAATGTGTTTAGGAATGAAACATGTCTGAGAATAGTAAAATAACATTCTGTATTTTAATAGTGGGCCCGTGCTGCTCCCTATGTCTTGAAGTCACAAGTGTGGCTTTGAAAAGGAGTCTCTTTATTTAAACACATGAGTAAGAATTTCACCCATCATTTATCAGGATGCTGCTTGCTCCGATGCTCACCCAGCAGAGTGATTGCAAACTCTCCAGCCTGTAAGCAGTGTTTTACTCCACCAGATTAGGAGTTTACAATGTTATGTCTAGCATCTAGACCTCCACATCTGCTTGGTGAATCTCAACTATATTTTCCTGAAAGAAGTTTCCCTCCTAATGGGAGACTGACAATCAAAAATAAACAATATATTGCTTTTTGTAATACATCAGTAAACCCACTTGTCACACTTGTTCTGTTTATAGCTCACAAGCCTCTAGGATATTTGGAGAAGGAAGGTCCTTGACTCAGGATGTAAAATTCTACAGGGACAGTTGAATGTGTAGGTATATGACCCCTGCTTTTCCTTTGAAAATTGCACAGAAAGAAAACAATCACTAATACATAGAACAAATAACCCATCATCCTAGAAGCTGAACTCATTAAGTCACTTGTTCAGCTTTATCTGTGAGACAACAATAAAGCAGTTTAAGGGATAGAACACTAAATTAATTGAAGAGATGCTGGGAAGAATTAATGAAACTAAGAAAAATGGTTTCTGCCCTCCTTTTAACACACCCTGAATCACATGACATGGAAGTGCTCACTATTGGCCCTCAACAAAAGTGCACTCTGTCTTACTTTAGAAATTATTGTTTTATGCCAGAGTGCTGCCTCCACCGTTTTCACTCCCAGCTTACCCCTAGCAAAGAGGTGCTGTCAGGTAAACTGTCATGACCCTCTGATCCTACACAGGTTGTTGTAGCCATTCATAGCAAGGTCAGACATACTTAGGTTGTGTTACCTTGAACTAACAGTGCAGCTAGGGGAAATAAAGTGGATGGGGAGGGTCAGGGAAACAAAATGCAGGAGATGATGGCTAAGCATCACAGCCAGCACTCTTAATGCCACATAAACTTAGAGATCAAACTCAGAAATTGGAATTTTATTAGGACAGATTTTTTTTCTATACCATAGGTAACTTAACTGACTGGATTACAGTACTTAAGCAATATGCAGCATCTCTTAATCAGCTCACCAAGGTTATGTGTCATTTACATAATATTTACATATTTTTTTTACATATCCTTTTGCTTGATGAATCCACCAGTTTAAAAAGTTGTGTTGTGTTTCTGCCTAGCTGTCTGCATGGCGCGCACACACACACACACACACACAAGCATTCTGCAGGATCAGAGTGTGTCGTGGGCAGTATCTTGGCAAAGGAATCACACACAAAGGAAACTGAGTGCAAACTTTCAATTTCTCTCATCAGAAATTACAGCACAATTGTTTCATTACCTGCTGTAAGCCAGATAGGCAGATGGAATGTATGGGCATGAAGCATGCCAAACATAATTACTTTATCTGCCTAACATCTAAATGACAATTCCATGCAACTCCTGTTTGTTTTAGATTCAAGCTTATAGTTGTTTTGTTTTCAGAAATGCCCAAATACACTGAGGAAATGCTGCAAAACAGTTGAACATACACCTTTTTTTTTATATGCCACTTATTTCACACATAGGCATTTCATGAATAGATGGAGAGTGCCACTCTTTAACACTCCACCTATAGCTAGTCAGGTGCCAGGCAGCTGATACATTCAGCCCATTTCATGATTTTTAAACGGTTGCCCGTGGTTCCCCAGTATATTGAGGAACCTGGATCATATACTCCAACTAAAGAAATCTCCCACACTTTTACCTTTAAATATCACCTGCTATATCTGTTCTGTTAAGTCTTCCATTATGAGCTATTCTCCAACAAAAATTGTGACAGGGACACCCAGGCACCAGTGTGAAGATAGAGTTTTGGATCTGTGTACGTATTTAGAGATTCCCTTGGCAAATGTTCTTTCAAAACAGAAGACATAATAATGTCTTCTAGTTGTAGTAACGAGGTATTTAATGTGGACTCCACAGCAGTATATCTGTCATGCCACACCTCCTGAGACAAGAAAAGTCTGGGGCGGCATGAAAAGCATTAATTTAATTAAAAGCATTAATGGCTTTACATCCAGATTTTCACAGTGCATTCTCAAAGAAAAGAAACATCATCATGTAGGTGTCTTGGCTCATAGAAGCTGACAGAGGCACTCTTAGAGTCTAACTGGAATAAGAAGTTAAGTGCTAGAATAACATCTTTTTCAGTCATCATCACTTATTTCGAGTCCAATACTGTGCAAATTAGACAGATCCTACAGACATGCATGTACGCTTTAGTCACATTTGGCTGACATGGAAAACAAAAATACTTCCTACCATTAAATACCGTCCATGGTTTTGGAGTTAAACCTCATATGCAGCCTTCACTTCCAATGCCTTATCTGTAAAAGGATTAGATTAAATACTAGTCAGCATTTGTTTCTCAGGATAAGGTTATAACAGCCATATTAGCGTACTATGCCAAAGGAATTTGAACCCACAGGTGGCTTCGGCAGGCAGTGAACCAAGGCCAAGTGTCAGCAAGCACGTTTTGCTTCTAACAGCTAACATCAGCAGGAAAGTGGTGAGAGAGGTTTGGCTGATTACAGCACCAAAAGATACTGCCACAGGCATTATCCTACCAACCTTCTCTGCCCTCCACGTGGCTTTCTCTAAAGCTGGTTCTCATCTCTGATGAGAGCACTGAGTACCTGTTCAGTATCTACTAGCATAATTACTTAACACCTTACTGTTATGGAGGTGTAGCAAAGGATAATTAAAGGAAACAATGTTAGCAAAGCATTCGGGAGAGTCATTAAATAAATTTAATTACCTTTCTTAACTTTTTTCTTCTGTACATATATACTTTGACAGTTTTCTTTGCCTTATGACTGGGACTGTAGAGCCTTCCTTAGAAAAATAAAAAAAAATATATAGGCTTAAAGATAGAACAGCAAGTGCTACCCCATGCTGTCATCCCTTACCCCTGGATACCTACTGATCTGAGTAAATATGTTTTTGTTGTATCATATATTACTGATAGACCTAATGAACCTCTACATTTCAAAGCTGAGTGGTAGGAAATACAGTGCATATTGCGCAAAAGCTAATGCAAAGCTTATTGTTTTATCATAGCAAATGTTATAAAACATTATTATTATACATGCATATCACAATATTGAGATGTCAACCAAGTTCAAGGTTTATAGTGCAATATACTGTACAAATATATCCTTCAATTTCCCTGTAAAATTCTTGAAGTAGCATGGGAATTATGAAGGATTTCCAGCAAGAACTTTCTTGATTTCTTTCTAATGCGGGTATAGAATATTCTTTGGTTTGACTGAAGAAAATTTACCAAACATGCAGTTACATATTTGATTGGTTTTGTTTTTGTATGAAAACGAACACTTTGAGCTCAGAATTAAAAAGTCAAAAAACCAAAGAACTTACTCGTGGTACTTCAGAACATATATTTTTGCCTCACAGAATATGTAATCCTATATGCAACAAAAAGATATACTATTAAAAGTAATATTTTAACTAAATGAAACAAAATATACATTTACCTTACTGAAATTACACATTAACACAATATTTGTCAAAATGTTTTGACTTGAAGTAAACCTTCTTTTCAGAAGTAAACAGTTCTGCCAAAAATGTAATCATTTGCAGTTTGTTTTCTATTAAATAAACATACAATAACACAAAGACCAAATCTACATGGGAAAATTATTATAAGTCAAATAAATGTAATTGCTATTTAACCCTGATTTTCTTTAGTGATTATTCTTGGGTCATTTGTCAGAGGCTTTCATAATCATAGTTTGGCTTCAGGAAAACACCCATCCACTGTAGACTTGAATCTTCCCTTTTCCATTGACAACTTGCATATTCCAGCGGAGAAGAGCTTCCCTGTGGAGGCAGCAGAAGGAATGGCATACATCTGCATAACCCAGACTCTGTGAGTGCTTTTGCCCATTACTCCAGACTTAGGCTTAGTTTCAGAAAGATGTTTGAACACATGCATTTAAGTAGTCAAGTAATTAATCTACTATTCACTGGTTCAAGATAAGCATTCAATTAATTGACTTGCCAAATACAGGCTTCACTGGGTTATGTACATGGGGTCCTGTACAATAAACAAATTAATTGACAGATCCTAGATTAGCTGTCAGTTTCGTGGGAGATGAAACACCTTTTCTCTTTTCTTCTTCTTTTCTCTTTTCTCTTTTCTCCTTTTCTTTTCTCCTTTTCTTTTCTTTTTTCTCTTTTCTCTCTTTTCTTTTCTTTTCTTTTCTTTTCTTTTCTTTTCTTTTCTTTTCTTTTCTTTTCTTTTCTTTTCTTTTCTTTTCTTTTCTTTTTTCTTTTTTCTTTTCTTTTCTTTTTTCTTTTTTTCTTTTCTTTTCTTTTTCTTTTCTCCTTTTCTTTTTTTTCTTTTCTCCTTTTCTTTTCTTTTCTTTTCTTTTCTTTTCTTTTCTTTTCTTTTCTTTTCTTTTCTTTTCTTTTCTTTTCTTTTCTTTTCTTTTCTCTTTTTCTTTTCTTTTTCTTTTCTTTTTTCTTTTCTTTTTTTTCTTTTCTTTTTCTTTTCTCCTTTTCTTTTCTTTTCTTTTTTCTTTTCTCTTTTCTTTTCTTTTCTTTTCTTTTCTTTTTCTTTTCTCCTTTTCTTTTCTTTTCTTTTCTTTTCTTTTCTTTTTCTTTTTCTTTTTCTTTTTCTTTTTCTTTTTCTTTTCTTTTCTTTTCTTTTCTTTTTCTTTTCTTTTCTTTTCTTTCTCTTTTCTTTTCTTTTTCTTTTTCTTTTTCTTTTCTTCTTTTCTTTTTCTTTTCTTTTCTTTTCTTTTCTTTTTCTTTTCTTTTCTTTTCTTTTCTTTTCTTTTCTTTTCTTTTCTTTTCTTTTCTTTTCTTTTCTTTTCTTTTCTCCTTTTCTTTTCTTTTTTCTTTTCTTTTTTCTTTTCTCCTTTTCTTTTTTTCTTTTCTTTTCTTTTTCTTTTTCTTTTCTTTTCTTTTCTTTTCTTTTCTTTTCTTTTCTTTTCTTTTCTTTTCTTTTCTTTTCTTTTCTTTTCTTTTCTTTTCTTTTTTCTTTTTTTCTTTTCTTTTCTTTTCTTTTCTTTTCTTTTCTTTTCTTTTCTTTTCTTTTCTTTTCTTTTCTTTTCTTTTTTCTTTTCTTTTTCTTTTCTCCTTTTCTTTTCTTTTCTTTTTTCTTTTCTTCTCTTTTCTTTTTTCTTTTTTTCTTTTCTTTTCTTTTTCCTTTTCTTCTCTTTTCTTTTCTTTTTTTTTTCTTTTCTCCTTTTCTTTCTTTTCTCCTTTTCTTTTCTTTTCTTTAAATTTTTTTTAGTGATGAACTGACACAAATACCTAGAGAAAAAAAGAAGCACTAATTATTCTGAGATGTTTTCATAAGAGTGATGTTGATAATTTTCTATGAACTTGACTTCTATGTGTCTTCCAAAATACAGCAATCCAATGAGTTTTTGCAATTTTAAACAAATTAATGTTTTGTTTATTGATTGAAAGGCTAGGAAATTATTTTCCTAGCCTGCAAAATTTACTCTCCACCACTTAGTTGAGTCTAGTTACAGTGCTAAAAGTATTGCCTTGTGAAGCCACAGGTCCTACCTTTTCAGTAGCTTCAGGTCTTTGTGAGAGAACTGATGTATTCAGTCTACTCTCTGAGGGATGCCAGACCTAATCACAGAAGTCACCGGCACATCTGGAGCTCCTTTTGTAGGAAAAGTGCTTTGAGTTTGCCAAAATTGAATGGCTCTGTGACACTAACAGTCATCTTCCAATTCTGGTGTCATCTCTGGTGTCTCTGATGGACAAGGAAGAGCAACTTTCAGAGGCAGTAACTAGACTGCATTGTGAGAAATTAAAATAGGAATGAAAAACCTACGAATCAGCACAGAGAACATCACACAGAACCCAGGAAACTGCTTCTATAGTCACGTAGAAAACAAATGCTGGTCTCTTAAAGAGAAAACCATACACAGAAGAAATAATAACCAGCCTAAGTAATTTATATTTGTTGCCATATTACTGTCTTACATTATCAGGAGAGACATCTTACCTGGATGTCAGAAACTAATCAGACAATGATTTTGAAAAGATTTATCCTGAAAAAATACCCTTAGTATTCCTCCTTGTCTGTTAACTTCAGATAGAAAAGGCTGTGAAGACTCAGGAGAAAAATGGATGAAAAGTGCTAGAATCACTTGACTTGAAGAAACAATGTAGCTTTCTTTTCACTTAACACTGGTTGAGGATACAGATACTCTCTGCAGATTTGAATTTTTTGTAATATTTACTAATGAACAAAATGCTTTTCTACACAGAAAAATGTGTATGAGCCACTTGGCGTAATAAGCTGACAAGCATAAATCACTCCTTGGAAAACACATCGTCGTTATTAGTCTTGCTCCTGAGCCTCTTTCACGCTGAAATAATCAGTATCACTCTTAATTTACAATGATGTAAGTAAGGAGTTAATCTTACTTTTATTATTTCTCTTCTATTAAAATAAGCAAAAAATACACATGAGCTTGAAATCCTGGAACCATGAAATCATGGAGATTTTGCTACTGAGTTTATTAGGGTTGGATTTCATCCATTGTACTATTAAACATGTAAGAGTAAACCACAACCACAATTGTTGTATTACATTGGACAGAAATTTAAAATTATTTATCCCATTTACTACATGTATAATACAGTATAATTCTCATGAAAGTTGATAAGCATTTTGATGGCATAGCAATAGCGCTGGGTTTTCACCTAGGCTAAGTGTTCTCAGACTGCAAGATGAGTGCCAACAGGAATCAGCAAGCACTTCAAAATCATACACAATGAGCTGAGTATTCCTCTGAAGAAACAGGAACAGTGCTTCATCTGGCAAACCTCTGCTTTTGTACCTGTGTGTACCATGGCATGGACATGCCATTGTGGCTGTCTTCATTGGAGTGGGCCATGACTCCTCCTCATGCATACAAAACAGTGGTGTGTCCTGTTGCTGCTGCCATAAGAGTATTCGAACATAACTCTCAGATCCACTCAAGGGCCTGAACAACAGAATTCAGGCATCCCAGACCTAGATGGACAGGTGACAGCTGCAAGATTTCCCCCTCCAGATACGGTTATTAAATAAAAGGGAAAAGAGAAACATTTTAAGCAATTCATTTTTCTGTTGTTCCTTTGCATCTTGGTAATTATCTCAGTTATAGTGTATTGATTCCAATGTGCAACTGCTTTACTTGAATCAATAGCAAAATTTCATTTGCTTCAGTTGCTTCAGAAGCAGGCTTGGGACATAAGGAGTAATACTGAATTGCATGTATGAGCAATCTTGCAATGCAAAATACATATAAGGTAAAGAATGTTTTAATCTTGATGAGGTCAGGACCACCATAAAACATACCAAAACAAAGTGAGAAACATCTGAAGATCAAGCAAGGCTGGAGTGCTGCAAATTCCATGGACTGGCTACAGTGGTTGTCCTCATTTTCAACAAAGGAACAATCTCCAAAACCAAAATGAACTTCTGAACGTGTATCCAGTGTTTGTTAAAAGCCTCGAGCTGTGTTGAAAATCTGACAGCCTAAAGTGAGTAATGACTTTAAAAACCTGTTAGAAATAAAAATGTAGAAGATGGGCTAAAGGAAAGGCAGAGTATCACACTCCTGCGTGTCTGGCTGTGAACGAAAGAGGGGCGTATAGTTCTTGATCTAAACTCAGCCTGAGGAGATGCCACTGTACTGCCCTCTTTGCAGGTGGCTTTATGTAACTTCACATCTAGCAATCCACCCAAATACTTTCCATTTTACAGATGACCTCAGTGGAGGCAAAAAAAAAATTTTGATGCTTGCCCAGGGTCATACTGTGACTCACTCAGAAAATACTGGGGATTCTGTGCTTGTTGCCCTGTACCTGCAGAAGGCCAGGTTCTCTGTAGAGCTAAGTCAAGTAAGTGTAAAATCATGAGTTCATCCTAACTTTTCACCTCAGATGAGCAATTCTTTTTTTGAGAGACTCAAGAGTTCAGGTGGAATTTAAAAGCTGCCCAGTTACCTGACATCATGTATTCTTTTGAGACTGAATAAAATGGATGGGAGGGAAATAGAGCAACTAGGAAAAAAATTGTCTCCAGAATGTAATCAGTAGTCAAAGCTACAACTTGGCATGGGTCCACTACACTACAGAAAACATCATGCACCGAGAAAGCTGAGCCGGAGCAGCAGTAGCAGCACATGTGACGACAGGAAACATTAACAAAAGCCAAATATAAGGTGTAACACTCTGCAGGAGAGTTGAATGTATCTTGTAAAAAAAAAAAAAAAAAAAAGTATCTTAAAAAAAGAGAAAAGGCTCATTATTGTGGCCTGGTAAGCCAATACCTGCAAACGGCACGTAAGCGTTCGCTTTCTGAGGTGCCCGAGCGGCGGCAGCGGCCGGGCCGCTCGGAGTGCCCTGCGCGAGTGCCTGTGCCAGCCTGCGCTGCCCTGCTGAGCTCGCTACTGCTGGCGATGGCCCGGTGGCTCCGGACGGGGCGGGAGGCGGGAGCGCTCTTGCGGTACAGCGTGGTGGCGGCAGCGGGAGGGCGGATAGCAGCGGCCGCCAGCCCCACGGCTGCCCCCGGGTGCCTCGGGCTGCGGGAGGGCGCGGCCGGCGGGCGCGCACACAATGGCCGTGGCGGGAGCCGCCCTCAGAGCCGCGCTGGGCGGGTCCTGCCGAGGCAGGCTCCCCGGGCCGTGCCGGGCGGGACGGGCGCCGGGCAGCGGGGCGGGCGCACCTGGCCGGGGCGCCCGGCGGCGGCGGCGGGGCAGGGCCGGGAGGCCGCGGCGAGGGGCGGGGGCGGCTCCTCATTGGCCGCGCTCGGAGCCGCGAGCTGCCTGCGCGCCGGCCGGGAGCGGCCGCGGCGCTGTCGCCGCTTCCCAGGTGGCGGAGCGGCGGGAGCCGCGGCAGGAGCGGCGAGAGGGTGAGCGGGAGGCGCCGCGGGAGGGGGGAGCCAGTGCCGCCAGCCCCAGCCCGGGGGCGCCCAGGGGACCCACCGCCTCGCCGAGGGTCAGGTGCGGGGATGCCCGGAGGGGGGACCTTCCCCTGCAGGCCCCGCAGCACGTCCCGGTTGACCGGGCAACGGAGCCACGGAGGAATGCGGCCGGCGGGCGGGCGGCTGGGCGCCGGCGGCCGCCGCAGCAGCTGGGCGGCTGCCGCTACTGGGGAAGGGGCGGGGGCGGGGAGACCGCTTTCTTCTCCCGGCACTCGGGCAGGG